ATAGAAAACCTAGCATAGGAGTGCATCAAACTCAGTTTTATTGCCAAAATTCTAGATTGGAGCTTGATGTCAGGACTTGCCTAGTGGGTATCTCCACAGCAGGTGAAATTGGCCACCTCCACCCCTGATGGCAATGCAGAGACCTCCCGTCTCTGGAAGAGCATTGCCATAATTGGTCCTTCTAGGCTCACACGTAATTCCAGGGCAGCTACGCGAGATCGGAATCGAGAACTGAAGGTTGGAGTTCTCCAAGTGGAGTTCCACCAGTCGGACTCTTGACACCCCTGGGTGAGGGAAAATGTCACCTTTGTTTTGCTTTGTTTTGTTCCTAAAGTGGTTAGGCACTAATTTCTGGGCTTTTTAGGGATTGCACTACAGAAGAATGTAAACTGATGTCAATCTCTGCAGTTCTGGAGACAAACTCCCTGAGAGCAGTCAGTGCAAGATATTCAGAGAATCTGTCTTTAAAGAGTTGGCACCAGCAGGCTAGTCACTTTGTACACAACAGAGATCTTAGTATTTACTTCCCTCCTTAAAACACTTTGTAGCAGTTTCAGGTTTTTAATTTTTTCTGCAAATAAATTTAAACTACATTATTAAGTAGAAATAGTTACTTGCAACAACTTAATTTCTAAGGGTCCAAGTCCCAGAAAATCCCTAGTTGTCAAAGCTTTGAGAATATCTTCTTTATCACTCCTTCCATATCTTTGAGGCCTGTCATCTTCCACCACAAAGGAACTCTTGCAGACACACGGTAACAGCACGGCCTTTGTGAGCTGGCTCTAACAGACACCATCTATCCTTAGCAAAGTTTTCAAGTTTTTTAAAATCTCACATAGCCTTCCCAAGGACCCCCAAGACTTACTGTTAAGATTCACACTTGAGACACACATTTCAACAATAATACAGTCCTGTAATTTATGAGCAAAAGATTTGAAATTTTCTCCTGTTGACTTACTTTGTATTAGTTCTGTTGAAAACCTGGAAGGCTACAATAAAAAATAAGACTCTAAAAGAGACCACACCAACAGGACAGAGCTACAGGATCTGCAGAAGTCTAGTTTTATTGAGGTGGGAAATAAAGTCCTCACCACACAGTTCTCAATTTCACCCCATTGCAATGAGAGCTTTCTGATCTGAAATTTAGGAACTTAAATCTTCAAGTCTAAAGGGAATTTTCTGCTCAAATAATGTTATTTTAAATGCTATCGCCTTCAGTATTAAAATATTAATCGGGAAGGCCTTACCCAGGGATTTTTGCAGTTGAATATTTATTTAAAAAGAGAAAACATAATATTCAGAACATTCTTAAAATGGGACAATCAGCCTCAAAGTTGATGTAAATAAAAAGAATACCCTAGAATTTGAGGCATTGTGATGTGAGGTTTCAAATTTTGAGATCAGTTTCCTGGCTTTCTGGAAACTAAAGCAGAAAGTTGTTACATTTTTTTTATGGAAGGCTTTTAGTAGAGTTTTTTAGAGTTTTATTTTAGTAGAGTTTTATAAAGCAGCAATGCAGAATTGACCTCTGTATTCTTATATCTCTTCCTGGTACACAGTATTATTACAGTTTTTAAGCAAAGCTGATGCTTACAACAGTTTTTTGGGGGAATGTTACATTGATCTCTTAAATTATAAACACTACAAAAATGTCAAAATAATGAGAACTGACACAACTTTGCCTTAAAGAATATTAGACTGGAACTTGTCATGTTATGTTAAAGGAAGACTTAGAGTGTTCATTGATGTTTACGATTTTAATATTTATGAAGGCCGTTACAGTGGCCTGGATATGTGCTGAAAGCCAAACTTTTAAATTTTTTGGTTTTTTAAACAAAGAAATATTTTAAATAAATCCTATTTCAACACAGTGAAATTGTGGAAAACTGTCTCATAACAAAAGAAAAAAGTCATATTTAGGTTTTTTTGTTTTAATGGTCAGTATTGGAAATGAAAGTGTCTTTTGTCACCCTTATAACTATTTTGATAAATATTAGAGATTAGCATTAAATACAACAAAAAATTAAAACAAACTTTGAAGTATGACCTTCAAATTGAGGTAAATAAGTTCAGACATTGTGTGGCTGTGTTCCAGTCATCAAAGGTCTTAGAAAAATTCCCAGTTTCTTTGAAAGTATGTGTGTGGTGTGACATTTCCAATGAGGTCATTCCAAGTTGAGAATTGTAAAATGTAAATATGAGATACACAGGACACAAAGCTGCTGATCCATCAGATCTCTTCCCAAGTGAATCGCATACTTGGACTTGGGAATATTTGCTAGCAGCATTATGAATTTCTCTCCGAAAGCAACCAAAGTCAGTAGGCCTAAAAGAGCATTTTGCATTTCCTCAGAAGATGTCCTCACGTTAGAAACACAGATCAGACTGATCCTTTCAACTACTTAGTCGTTTTCCTGAAATCGTGGCTGTTTCCAAGTGCTGTGGCAACCAGGTAGGTGTGGCACCAGCCACTTTGCTTTATGTAGTCTGTCATATATTAAAGTTTCTAACCCCATTTTTATCTTCAAGAATGGGGAAAGTAGAATGTACAGATCAAAGTAGAATACAATGTTGGGATGAAACAACTATTTCATCTTTTTTTTTTTTAAAGCAAAACTGTCAATTTTCTACCTTATTTTCTAATTTTTATTTCATGGTCATACTGAAAATAGGAAAATGTTTAAACATTAAAACTCCTAATTGTTAAAGAGCACTGAGGAAATGGGAGCTAGCACTTCTAATAAAACATTTATTTTTGAAAGCCGATATGTGATTGGGTATTTAAAAAAACCAGCATCATCTATATAATCTCCAAAAGATTACAGGAGTCAGGCTTGTTAATATAGTAGTTCGTAGGTTGAGTATTTTAATTCACTATATTTAGAATTCTATAAGTCCTTTATCACAAGAAGTCAACGTAGTTAGTTTACACTACACATCATGTATGGAGGCGCAGTAGCAGTGGCAGTAACTTTGCCTGACGTCACACAGCTGTAATGTGTTCCCTGTTTGAGCACAGGCTGAGCCTCGCACTCATTCACTCACTCCAGTGTCTCTAGTGAGCACTTGCCAAGCGGGAATTGGGTTGCACCCTCCCCTCTTCACTCCCTGTCATTTTGTCACTCTTCCTGCTTTCATGGTGGTTTCTTTGATGCCTTGCTAGTTTTACTGATGGCGTTACCTGTTGAAGAGTCTTAAAGGTTATAAGGGAAACCATGTCCCTGCTCAGCTTGACCACCCATCTCAGAGGATAGCGCCTGTGGAACCCGATCCCATTGGCCATCCTTTCCAAAGGACAGATGACTCCCAAAGAATGAGTCAGGTGACATTTAAAGCCATGGGTTTTGAAGAGGCTCAATTATTGACAAGTCCCAAGGTTATGAAAGAAAGTATCTTTAATCAACATTCACAAAATGAAATACTGTGCTGGTTGAGGCCAAAGGTCAATGTTACTACACTGTTAATGGAGGGAGGGGAGTACCAGTCGGGTATTGTAACAAGCCCCTCACATGGGTAAGTTTTTACATGCACAAGGACAAAGGCTTTGGTACTGAAACTGAAGACCTCGTATACTTAATCTTCACAGCTTCTATTGAACATAATTTTCTTTTTAGGAATGAAGGAAAAGTCTCCCATTTTTGAGCCATTCTTTTATGTCAGTTCTACAAAATTGCATGTAACTTTATAAATATTTTTTAAAAATATAGTTTTGTAAATATTTAATATTCTGCTAATTTGATTTTGAATTGTAAATGTCAAGTATTGTTTTTGGGGTTTTTATGTTTTATTATACTTTGTTAAAAAGGAAAAATTGTACATTTTTAGAATGTTTTTATGAGTAAATTTAATGTACTGAAAATAAAAAAATGAAAATAAAAACTTTCATTTTATTAGGTCTTTGCCTCAAATATGAAGCACACATCTTTTCAAATAATTCACAATTCTTGATCTCCAAACTAGGGAGACAATCCTGCCTCCCCAGCTTTACAAAAGAAATACTTAGTCTTAAATGTGTTTTCTGTCAAGGTTCCCAGGTTTTTAACAAATACTCTTGGTATGGACAGAAATGTGAATTCTTGATTGGGGTATAAAGATGGTTTCATAACTATCAAAGTAGGTGTTAATAGATCTAAGCTTCTGTAAACATTCGCAAATGCATGGCGAATGTGCCCTACCATCTTAAGCTCTGTCCCTTGGATTTGGGAGGTTGGCAGTGGGAGTATGCCTAGAACTACATTTTTGTCATGAGCAGTGCCAAGCACTAGAGGGAGCTTTTTCCCTCTTTTTCATAAAGGTCCATAAGGCCTCTTGGTTTTTTTTCAGGCTACTGTTAGGTAAGTAACATGAGACACAGCTGGCAGCCCAATATGGAGCACTTGCTCTTCTTCTGGAGATGTGGGACATGTACACATCTGCTGAACAAGAAACTCGGGGAAGCAGAGTATTTCCTCAGCCCACTCCCTGTACTCTTTCTTCTACAAACATTGCAGTGCCTACTTGAATGTGAGCTGGGTCCAGGTCCAGAGTTTTCCAAATTAGTAACACTGGCCACTACTTGCCTGGTTGTTTGCATTATATCTTTACCTGATGCGGCTCCCCAGTAAACTAAGGTACCATGAGTCATGCCTTCCTGACTGCATATACTAGTACACACTCTATACCTTTGTGTTTATTTTACTTTGTTCATTCAGAGCAATATGTTTTCAAGTGTGTATTCCCACAAAACACCTACGTCCCACATCCATCCTCCTCCTCTGTGGCATAGAGGTTCTCAGGACAGTTTTGTAAGGACAAGACCAGGTGGCAGAGCCTTGACCACAGTGAAGAAGATGCCCCTGACAGGAGGCCTTCAGAGGTGTCACTCCCCCCACCTGCTCCCCCAGCACAGCAAAACCAGCCTGGATGCTGCTTGTTAGGAAGGGTATTGTTTGGCTTTGGCTAGTACAGACAGTATGCAGGACTGCAGGTCTCAAACACTGATCCATTAAATTGAGCTTTAATGACAGTTTTTAGTTGTGCCTTTATTCACCTTAGTTCATTTAAAAATGTACTTGTTTTAAAGATCCTATAAATATAGAGTGACTACCCACTAACGTGGGATATGTCACCCCTCTCAGCATGGTATTGTTTTTTAAAAAGCAGAATTTCTTATAGGAATCTTATCGATCACACAGTAGTTACAAGAATGTCAGATATAGTGACATACAATCTAAACAAGACAGGCCGATTAAGAATGTACATAATGTAAAAATATACATATTAAAAGTTAGCCATGTAGACAGACGCATGCAGCAGTAGGGGTAGGTGATAGGAGGTTGGGGGGTGGGAGCCCATATGCAGTAATATTGCCTAATCCCAACATTATAGTAAATAATTTCCACTAACTGATACAAGTATTCCATACACATCTAAATACACAAAGGCAAATCATGACCTGCTACATATAGTCTAAAGTGGTCTGTGATCTTTTTGTGATATTTCCATGAAAATAGTTAATAGTCATGCAGGTAGTAGGAAGTATTGGTTATTCTGGTTGGACTTGGGAAATGTTTAACTTTTTGACATTAATATCTGTGAAGAGAATATATCTCCTTTTACTGCTTTCTTCACAATTGACATGCGCTTAGAGTGGGGGAATTTCAATGGTGGTTTGACCTAACAGTGATGACTGAAATACTCTTTAAAAAATGTGGTAACTTTTTAACAACATATTTTAGTCACACACTTAACATGAAACATGGATCATCTGCAGGATTCTGTAGTTTCTACCACTGTCCTAAAGAATGAAACTGATACAAGTGCTTGTTTCTTTACCAAAGCAGGCACTATTTTGAGCTCTGTGATCAGAGCATATCCAAAACAGAAGAAATGTCACTTTTTTCCTCTGGGCCTTTTGAGAAACTTGACCAAAATAAATTATTCAAGGTTCCCCCTGAGCAGTGGTGTCATCATGTATGTTACTGTCTGGAGAACAAATAAGAACTTCCTAACAGTGCAAGAGCGTTGCCTTGGGTACACTTGATAGGAATCAGGAACCTTTAACAGCAGTTCACCGTTTTCTTATTTAGCCTGTATTATGGCAAATGTGTTTGGGGGGCTATGCTTGAGATTTCTCTAGTTGGATAGAAACCCTTCAATAAGAAGTTGGCAGGTTCTGACTTACTGTCTCTGAATGCTCAAAATGCAAGTTCCTATTGGGGAAAGAACATTAAAATAACTTGAAGATCTATCTTATTGGTAAGTTAGAATGCAAAGTATTTTATTTTTAAACTTTGAAACAAGACAGCCTAGGTTAAATAATATAGTTTTCCAAAGCTGAATGTGCCTGCTTGGAGCTCAGTTTTTCTGCTTAAAGTACAAAAACAACTTTCTAAAACTCCTAGGCCAGACACTACTCTTTTGATGATCTGTGATTTAGATGAACAGATCCAATCTCAGTTGGTAACATCCCTTTTTTCCCCGTTGGTAAGGGTTTAAAAAATTCTAGAACAGATGGATTTTTCTAGTCTTACAGTGACAATTTCATTCCAAATGTCTCCTGAGAGGCGTATACCATATACAGGAATCCATCTTCATCCTTCTCACTTTCATACACTTCCGATATCGGTGTGGACACACTCACCATGCTGTGCCCATTCACTAACAGGAAGAAGGCTTGATTAGCGTTGAGCTGTAAGCGCCTTCTATTGAAAGAAAATGTGAAAAAATATTGATACATCAATAAGTAGGGAACATATGTAAAAATATCACCCACTAATTGATTTTAAAAGTATAAAGATTTTGTAAATGCTGCTTCTGGCAAAATTAAGTGTATACCTTACCAATGATGACTAATATTTCTTCTCATAAAGCACAAGACATTTTCTATGATTATATTCATGATCAATATTAGTGATAATCCTTAAGTTATTCTTACTACCTTCTTGAGTTTTAAACTATTATGCTGTCTGAAGAGTGTCATTAGTGTCCAAAATGTGAGAAAAACCGTTCAAAATATTTACAAACTAAGACGTAAGCTGGTACAATTTATTACCACTATACCAAATCTGAATTCTTAATTTTGCTACACAAAACTTGTAACTTTTCTGATTAAAGGACATCTAAACTAGATGTTATGAAAGGATCAGATAAAAAATATAAAAAACTAAGAAATGAAACATCTTATGGTTTTATTAAGCTTGAATAATTTTAATCAGAACTAAGTGTGATAAAGAATAAGAACTTAGCCCAGTTGGTGTGGCTCAGTGGTTGAGCATCAACTCATGAACCAGGAGGTCAGAGTTCTATTCCCACCAGGACACACCCGGGTTGTGGGCTCGGTCCCCAGTAGGGGGCGTGCAAGAGGCAGCCAGTCAATGATCCTCTCTCATCATTGATGTTTCTCTCTTTCCCTCTCCCTTCCTCTTTGAAATCAATAAAAACATATTTTTTTAAAAAAGAAGTAGTAAAGCCCCGACTGGTGTGGCTTGGTTGGAGTATCAGGACGTCCCCTACACCAACAGGTGGTGGGTTCACCCTAGCTGGTTTGACTCAGTGGATAGAGCATCAGCCTGCCAACCAAAGGGTCCCGGGTTTGATTCCGGTCAAGGGCACGTACCTTGGTTGCAGGCTCCTCCTTGGCCTAGGCCATGGTCAAGGCTCGTGCAGGAGGCAACCAATCAATGTGTTTCTCTCACATCGATGCTTCTCTCTGTCTTTCCCTCTCTCTTCCACTCTCCCTAAAAATCAATGGGAAAATATCCTCAGGTGAGGATTAACAACAACAAAAAAGGTGGTGGGTTCGATTCCTGATCAGGGCACATACCCAGATTTTGGGTTCGGTCCCAGTGGGGCACACGCGGGAGGCAACCGATCAATGTTTCTCTCAGATCAATGTTTCTGTTTCTCTCTCTCCTTCCTTTCCCCCACCTCCCCTCCTAAGATAAAAAATAAAATAAAATAAAAATGAGTTACCTAAAGAAATAAAAAAACAAAAAGGTGATTACCTAATTATCTTGATGAGTTCACTCATGTTGACATGATCAGGTACAAGAAACTTGGTTTTATCCAGGACAGGAAGCTGCTTCTCACCCTTGTATCGTTCTATTATCACCTAGTAATGAAGCCAGAAATGTGATTTTAAAATAGTCACTAAGAGAGAAAAATAAAATACTTCCTATGTTTGTAACTGTCACATTTGTTAGTTTCCTCATAGCTCTATATCTCTTATAAAATGGTACACAAGAGACAAAGTAGCTCACTCCAAGGGGGTGAGCAGGGTGGAGGAAGAAACTGCTAAGTATTTTGTTATTTGGAACCATGAAAATATACTACCTAGTCAGAAAAAGACCCTAAGTTTCAGAACAGAGGCTGGTAGCAGCTTAAGTGTAAAGATATGAATCTGTTTGTATCAATTCTAATACCACCATTTGCACCAAACCTTAATAAAAGTGTTAAGGTTTTTTTTTAAATTTATTTTTATTGATTTCAGAGAGGAAGGGAGAGGGAGAGAGAGATAGAAATATCAATGATGAAAGAATCACTGATTGGCTCCCTCCTGCACACACCACATTGGGGATCAAGCCTGCAATCCGGGCATGTGTCCTGACCAGGAATCAAACTGTGACCTCCTGGTTCATAGGTCAATGCTCAACCACAGAGCCACACCAGCTGGGCTAGACTCAGTTTTTTTTTTTATATTAGAGACATGTTTCTCTATTTGACATGAAAATAATCCTAAGTAAATATTTGATAAGTAGAGGTCAAATCTTCAATTTGTTACTTGAAGATTTCTTTCATTTTGATAAAATATTCTTGCTATTTCTTTAGTAAGTATTAAAGTCAAGAATCTTGAAATATGCAGGAAACAAAAATGGTTTCACATTATGAACTGAAATAAATCCATTAGCTCCTTGCCATACTTCCTTTCTGTAGGGAAGAAGGAAAAAAAGTGAAGCTGTCATCACCTTCCTTGTTTAAATGATGAGTTTATCTATGGCTGTGTGTTCAGAACATGATATCCACAAGGAATAATCAGTGGACAGAGTATACCTGCCTAGATTTAAGTGGTAGCAGAAATCAGAGCCAATACAGAAATCATAGGTTCTTGGCCCAGAAAGAAGCAGAAGTAAGGAATGAGAAGAAAAAATTCAAGATCTTAGAATCCTTTGTTAAAGGAACACACAGCAGTCTGGAAAATGCTAGATAAGATGACTTTGGGTACCTTCTGCTTTCAGCTGCTGAGTCTGGTCTGCTTGGGGAGAAGCTGTTCTAGCTGCTTCTATTCACTATTTGGTGGTGATATCCATGAAAATTCAATTACCTAAAATGATTGGTTTACTTTTCAGTTCTTATTTCTTTAAATTTTTCCTTTGACTCTTCCAATTGGGGAGACCAGATGCATAACTCATAATAAGGCATTTTACTAAATCTGAAAGTACCTTCTCAAATTTTCATTTAATGGTAAGGGCTATGGACAGGAGCACAGAAAAAAAAAATCACCACTGGGGAATGAAGAGTGGAGGACCAGGGAACTGCCTGTGCCTTGTCCGTCCATCCACCCATTGGATTCTCAACATGTGAGTGGCTGTGAGTCTGCTTCTCAAACTTGTGCAGTGAGTCACAAACACATACAAGGGAGTACAAATATGTGATTTCTGCAAAAAACCTGAAACTACTAACAGAAAAGATGACTTTTAATGTACACAGATATTCACATTTCAAAAGGATTCTGTAGAACTAATTCTGGCAGACATTTGGGCTAGCTATTTGTTTCCAAGGGGTAGCACCTGTTAGTAAATAAATATAGCAGGTACTCAAAAGTAAAAAACCAAAACAAAACAACAAAAACACTTAAAGTTAAGGTAATTCCCCAGAAGGCTCACCTCTAAGCCATATGTTAACCCCAAGTACAAGGACATATTATTGTGAAAGCTCCAGCCAGTCCAACCAGAAGAACATGTCTTTTACTATAGAATCCTACAGGTGTGAAACTGCTGAGCAGACCCATCTTATTATCTTTTCTGTACACTTTACAGCCCCCCCCCCCCCCCCCCCCCCCATGGATCTTTCATCTTCTTTTTCCTACTTTGGTATCAGATGACCAGTCAGAAAGCCAAACATGAAAGCTTCTATAGAATTTAGCAGTGGAGTTTCTTTTTTTTTCTTTTTTAATCCTCACCCGAGGACATATATTTTTTCCCATTGAAGAGAAGAGGGAGGGAGAGGGGGAGGAGAAAACAGAGAGGGAGATAGACAGACATGGATTGGTTGCCTTCTGCACACGCCCGACCAGGACCGGGGATTGAACTTGCAACCCAGGTACATGCCCTTAACTGGGAATCGAACCCGTGACCCTTCAGTGTGCGGGCTAACACTCTTAACCACTTAGCAACATGGCCAGGGCTGCATACATTATTAACCACTGAAACATACATAGGTAACTAAAACTACCTACCGGGATTTTGGTCGGATGCTGCTCTCGGATAAGCCGGACATCTTCTACTCTTTGTTGTGCAATGAAAAGAGATATAGGGATTATTAAGGGCCCTAATGCAGCTTGTTTCCTGCATTTTTGCTGGTTGAGTTCTATATCTGAATTCAGCTATCTTTATCTGTGGCAGAGCAAAACAGTAGACGAATCTTCTAGAATTGAAAGAAACCAAGCACTAACACTTCCTATCTGGCAAAGGTTGGTATGTGAGGCCAAGGGCAATTATATGGAAACCAACATGCAATTAATTACATGGTTTTATCAGGAGTTATAAGACCAGAGAGAGAAAAGAATGCCCTATTTGAGTTTAAATAGTTTTGTACAGTGCCCCAAATAAACACAAAGTCTACTGTTGAACACTTTTTTGAGAATATCTCTGTATTCTCCCCCTTAATATAATCACTTACTTATATTTTCAACTATTGCATTAGGCTGTCTGGGGAATATACGGGGGGAAAAATAAGCCAAGTCCAGTTCTCAATAAGGTGACAATATAATTGGAGGGACATGTCATATATACAGCAATACATGAACATATGATCAAGATGGCATTAATTAAAACCTAACAAAAATTAATAAAATCACCTTGATTTACTATGGTAGGATTCATTCTCATGGTATATATTTGCAAATAAATGATCAATGTAATGAACTTCCTGAGAAAGTGCTCATACTAGTAGCTCCAGAAAAAAAGATGCTATGACCTATATAAATATGAATTTATTTTAACATCACTGCCATTTTGGTTTGGATTTTTTTTAAAAATTAGTATTCTCCATAAAAACTATTGAATTCCCATATTCAAATATGAACATAAGTTCTATTTCTATTTTCCCATCCAACATTTCTAAATCAGCTCTAAAGATAAACTACTAAATAAAAACATATTTGCCCCCGGTCCATGTGGCTCAGTGGTTGAGCATCGACCTATGAACCAGAAGGTCATGGTTCAATTCCCAGAGTTGCAGGCTTGATCCCCAGTGTGGGGAGTGCAGGAGGCAGCCAATCAATGATTCTCTCTCATCACTGATGTTTCTATTTCTCTATCCCTCTCCCTCTATGAAATCAATAAAAACATATTAAAAATAAAAACATATTTGCTATAGACAGAGACGACTGCAAACTCATTGATTCTTCCCAGTGCATATTCTTATTCAATACATGAGGATAAACATAAATTTAGCTATTATTAACAGTGAATTTAACCTATTGGTTTTCACCTGTGACATTGTGACTTATAACAAGAAATACATATTTGGTCCTGGCACAGAGCTCCCAAAACCCTTGGATTTTCCTATGAGTGATAAAGATCTTTCCTTATTCATAATAAGCCCCTTTCAACCACACCTGAGTTTATGTTAATGAGGTGATTTTGAGAAAGCCTTTTAAGGGTGGGGGCTGGTTGCCAGGGGACCAACAAAGATTAGAGCAGTGGTTCTCAACCTTGGCTGCTCATTAGAATCACCTGGGAATCTTTTTAAAATCCTGATTTCTGGGCCTCATCCTCCGGAAATTCTGTTTCTTTATTACTAATGTTGTGGTCCCACCCCATAACAAAGAAACAGAATTTCTGGAGGAGGAGGCCCAGAAATCAGGATTTTAAAAAGATTCCCAGGTGATTCTAATGTGCAGCCAAGGTTGAGAACCACTGGATTAGAGGGTTTAAACATTCAGCCTCTCTCCCTGACCACCTGGGAAAAGAGAGGTCAGCTGGTCCGAAGCACAGGTAACAACCTGCACTTGCAATTAGTGATTGAAGTGTTAGGGAGGGAGGGGCAGTCTTGCGGGACTGAGTCCTTAACTTGCTGGATCTGAGGCTATCACCAGGGAGATAGTGGTTAGAATTGAGGTAAACTGTAGGACATCCAGCTGAACTGCTTCATGTGTGGGAAACCCACATGTCTGGTGTCAGAAGTGAAGTATTTAGTAGGATACTGAGAATAGAGGAGACATACAGAAGGAGGAGTTTTTTCTTTTTCTTTTTTTTTAAATATATTTTATTGATTTTCCACAGAGAGAAAGGGAGGGGGACAGAGAGCCAGAAACATCGACGAGAGAGAAACATCGACCAGCTGCCCTTCCGCACACCCCCAACTGGGGACGCGCCCAAAACCAAGGCACATGCCCTTGACCGGAATCGAACCTGGAACCCCTCAGTCCGCAGGCCGACGCTCCATCCACTGAGCCAAACCGGCCAGGGCAAGGAGGCGTTTTTTTTTTACATTATCCTTGGAAACTTCATTGCTCTAAGACCTGTCCCTATGACTCTCCCATCCAAGAAAAGGTACTCTACCATCCAGATTTAGCATCAGCCCTCTTCAAAACAAAAATCTCCATATTGTCAGGGTAAATTATTTCAGAGGCTAGGGGAAATCAGAATTCACTCTAGCAAGTGGATGATAACTAATATACATGGGAATGTGTTCCTTATTTAAAAGCTTGTCCTAATGAATCTACAAAGTAAGTGAAAACATTTAGGCATAGCCCAGCTGGCGTTCTTGAGCACTGACCTATGAATCAGAAGTTCATGGTTCAATTCCCGGTCAGGGCACATGCCCAGGTCGTGGGTTCCATCCCCAGTGGAGGGCATGCAGAAGGCAGCCAGTCAATGATTCTCATCATTGATGTTTCTATCTCTCCTTCTCCCTTCCTCTCTGAAATCAATTTTTAAAAAAAATGTAAACAAGCAAACAAAAAACATTAAGGCATAAGGGAAAGATTTTTTTATATAGGAAACTGGTTTATTTTGGTAAATGAAGAAAGAAAATCAAAATAGGTTCTAAATGAGAGGCTTCAAAGTCAAGAAACTATAGTGTCAAAAGTTTTCATTATCTTGATTTATCCCCAAAATATGGCCATAAAAGGAAGACAAAAAATGATTATTTTTATTAAAGACAAGTGACTTCTTTAAGGTGAAAAGAGTAGCATAGGAATGTCTTTAGTGTCTTGGCCAGGTGCCTGAAGCAACTGAGTAAATATGGTATATGCTGATACCTCTCTTATTGATTTTAGAGAGAGAGGAAGGGAGAGAGAAACATCAATGTGAGAGAGAAACAGCCATCGGTGGCTTCCTGTACACCCCCTACTGGGAATGGAGCCCACAACCTGGGCATATGGCCTGACTGGGATTCAAACCAACGACCTCTTCGTGCATGATAAGTATTTCCTCAATCTGTTTATAAATCATAAACGTAATATCCAACCCATCGTGGCGTGCTACCCAGGTTTTGGCATAAGTCTCTCTCCAGTCTACCTATTAGAGTAGTTGAAGCTATTTTAGACCAATACAAACTTCCCCTGAGACATGCAAACAGTTTCATTATTTTTAAATATTTATTTATTTAAAAGAGTTTTTGTTCACTTTTAGAGAGAGAAGAAGGGGGAGGGAGGGAGAGAAACATGGATGTCAAAGCAAAACATCAATCGGCTGCCTCTTGCACACCCCAAAATCTAGGCATGCGCCCTGACCTGGAATCCAAGTGGCAACCTTTCAATGCCAAGACAACCCCCAACTGAGACACACCAGCCAGGGCCTAACCCTTTGATTATTAATGGAGAAGCTTAAGACCTAAGTTTACCATTGAATCTCAGCAGAACAGTGTCTGGGAAACAGTTCTGATATTAAATAAACTGGCCAACTCCAGAAGAAAATGGAGTGATATTATTACAACATTTGAGAAGACTGAATCCAATACTGTTTGGTCAAATACAACTTTTCAAATGTATTATATTTTTCAAAACATCTGCAAGGATTCACTATGCATCTCGACCCAGAGTGTTGATCATGTATTGGAAATGATGGCTCCCTACCAGAGATGGAAGAAAATCATCTCAAGTTTAAAAGGACAAGTCCAGACTCTGCCACTAGGTGGACCATGTTCTTCACCTCTCTGGGCCCCACCCAGTTTCTTCAGCTACAAAAGGGGTTGTTTGGGGTGGGCCCTACCCTCTCAATCATAGAAAAAGACATCAACAGAGCTGTATTCAACTTTAAACTAACTTAAACTCACTCACTTGGAAAGAGAGAACTGCTCAAGCTAACTGAGGCTGGTCTTAGATTCTACAGTACAAAGGTTCTCACCAAAGAATTAATTCCCCTCATTTACTGTGCTACAAATCTCTGAAAACTCAATTATCAGTGCTGTTATGAAAATCAGGAGCAAAGAAAGGTAGTAGTCATTAAGAGATATTTGATACTTTTCTGCAAAATGACTATTAAAGAGATCTTAGAAAAGGGGGTGGGGAGGAAAGGTTAGGTAAGGGGAAAGCAGATACAATATACGGAGTGGGCAAAAGTAGGTTTACAGTTGTATGAAAAACGGCATGCAGATTATGATTATTACAACAGCTTTATTAATACAAAATAATGTCGTAATGGCACAGTAAACCTATTTTTGCCCACCTTGTATGTAAGATACACTACTGGGAAGGGAGTGAGGGAAGGGGCGTTCCTGCTTGTTTACTTCCAGAGTCACAGGTTCCAGGTGAAATCCTTCCAATTAATTAGAACCTATTTCTCCAGAATAACTTAAAAATCCTTTAAGCAGAGGAAAGTATAGTTTCAGTCTTGAGAAAATGGGCATCTTTCCCACACAAATGTCCCCAGTTAACTTTCAAATGCCAGAGTCAGTGAGGATGGAAGCCAGATACTGCAAATCTGCCTTAAATGCCACTCTCAGGGTTGCAAAAAAGCTAAATAACAGTAAGAGTTCACTAAGGTCTCTAAAGGGAAACGTTCTAATTAAAAAGGCACGTCTAAGTCTTCTTGACCAACAAACTACCCAAGGAGTTGTTTGGAAAGATATGCTCAGCAGGCCAACATGCATTTCATTTACTGAAACTTCTCGGGCACAAGAAATCAAATACTTATCAATAATGAGATCTAGAGAACCAGATCCAAGCTCAAATGAACGCTCACCTCTTTCTAGACCCCCGAAACCTGGCCAGAGGGGTCCCCGCTGCAGACCGTGAAGATCGCAGCAGGCCCCTCTCTGTGCGCATGGAGACCTGGTGCTTCCCT